CCTCGCTCAATCACACCGATTTGCTCGACTACCGCACCGACGGCTGTCTCTGCCCTGTCTGCCCCGGTAGCCACAAGTTCACTACCAGTCAGTTTACCTGCATCCAACAATTGATTCAACGCATCCTGGTAGGCCCGAAACTGCCGCCCATTGGCCCTGACCTCCTTCAGCAATTACAGGGGTGCCACGACTTCCACGGTATCTGGACCCTCCATGAACACCTTGGATCTTTTCTCCAGCATGTTGAAGAAACACGGTACCCTCACCCGTCCCTGACACATCAACAGATGTTCCCTATACCCCGGCTAATCACGCTGTTGAAGTACTACTTCCAAATATCGGTTCAAACCAAATCAGCGCGCTTGTTGGTTCCGACTATGATACTTCCGATCCAGGCCAGCCAACATATACCGAATTCATCCGTAGTCTGGTGCGGCATTGGCTTACCCCCATCCTCGCTTCTCGACCGGATTATGACGGATAACCTGGTCCTTCTCGGTATTTCGTACTCTGCACTAACCCATTCCGCGGCACTACACGGTGCAGACCCGATCCGTACCACAGAGGTGGGTACTCTATTTAGTAGGTCAGCAAGCGAATATATGGAACATTCGATAGTAACAGTGTTTTGTCAACACCGGCCCGAATTGACTCAGCACATATCTTCCATTGTCGACTCACTTGGCCCAAGCTTCAAACGGGGATTTACTGATCACTTCTTCCCATCAATTTTTCCTGAACCACTACAGCGACTATGAGAGCCATACCATATGTTCATACATTGTATCATACATACTTGTCATTTTTGAAATAAATAATATTATCCCTATGGTATTTTAAAACATTATAAGTATTATAAATATTACATACCTTATTACCTTAGATTTTACACCGCAACTGCTTTTTTTCTCGATCTTTCTCCACGATGGTACAAGGTAGAACTATATTCGATGGCTTAAAGCTGGCGGGGGGGGGGCTATGATATCATAGAAGGTCCTGGAGTTAAGTTATATATTATTTTAAAACAAAGATATTGATGTCTAATCTCGTATTGTCTTATGTAAAGGTTTCACGATGTATTGCGTGCGACATTTATTTCACGGGCATCGGACTTTGATGATGGTTTTCTTCGTCTTTTACTTGAAAAAAAAAGGGGGAAAAATTATCTCTAAATTTCTCTTATTCTTATAGCGTTGAGGTATATATCACCACCATTGGCTATAAAGTATGAAACATATATTTTCCTGTTTTTCCTTTATAGGTCGAGCCTTGACGTGTCCGAAATTTTCGTTCGGATTTCTCGTTCGGACAGCTATTTCAGAAATTCTATTTACTACATCCTTGTCTACCTCGCTTTTGTTTTTCAGCATCAGCTTTACGAATAAACTTTGCCCCATAGGCGCTTCAATTCCCATTGCAGCCTTTTAGCTAAGCGTTTCTTCATTACTTGTCCATAATAGAAGCGATTGTTGATTCTTAAGTACCTTTTTTCTTGCGCTTAAACGCTCCGTTCTGCTTACTAGCGGAGAGCGAGAGTACGGCGTCGCGAGTTTAAATCATTGGTTTGTATTTTGATGACTACAACCCACTAGTAATTTTACCGCAAAGCTACATGCTAGCATATGTGAATTGTTAGCCGCAGTATACTGGTTCGATAGTTAAGTGTGTATAGCGTACAGCTTGTGTGCCTTGACTGGATATTGAAACACTCTTATAAAGTACATATTTACGCTCGACTCCACAGAATGGCTTCAGCAGCTAGCTGACTAAAAGAAGTAAAATCAGAGGGTCTACTGATCAGCATTCTTTTTTGATATCATTTACAGATTCCGAGGTTGACGATTGCATCCAGTTCCACTAAATATAACCTTTTTTGTTGTGTAGGCTCAGTAGACCGTCTTAGAAAGCACGGGTTGTATTTGAAAATAGGGCCACTAGTACTGTTTAGTAACATAAGTACTGTTTGCAGTGATGTAGTGTCGATTTGATAGGTTCAATAATTTGTGCAAAAATACGATGCACTTCATTCTCACTCCTTACAAATCTGAGAATCGAGGGTGATGTGGCTAACCTTGCCGGCGAACCGACAAATATAAGCTGTGTGTGAGCAAGCGCAATTAAAAACCACTTGTACTCTTCAGTCAAACTGAGTTAACTTTAACACATATATTACCAGACCTACCATCCAGATAGCCACCTGTATGATGTATACAACCCTTATAGGACTGTATCCTGCTCAACTTGCAATAGTTATCTGACCTGAAATAGAAAATCTTCACCGCAGTATATAGTATATTTTTGGGCTATTCAGATATATCATGACACTGATAAAAGTCGTGTAAGCTAAACAGATTGCAATCCATAAAACCATTAACCTACCACCGACTGTGCAAATTATGAGATATCACACGCAGTGCAAATTACGAGACCCTTTCAACTTTGCGAATAGGTCACATTGTGTATTGTTTGATTCGTACAAAGTACACAAGTCTTGAAGTATATTATTTCGTGCACGAAATGCGAGAACAAATCATACACACCAGGGAATGTTAATATTCTGAGCCCACAGACAAGTCACAGCAACTCACTGGTACGGGTCTGATAAAACTTGTACCAGAGACGCGAGCTTTGCCTAAGTTACAGAGCTCACAGACAATTCACAGCAACTCGCTGATATGGGTCTGATGAACCTTGTACCAGAGACGCGAGCTTTGCCTAAGTTGGCCCGAGAAAAAAAAACGGTGCTTAAGGTAGGTGTGATGTATTGCTGAGAGATTCTGTGTGTGAATGTTTCTCAAACCATGTTAAAGACCCCTGCCCAGGTTTCCGTTGTGCCCGAACACGATTTAGTACGATAATTGCACAATATGTCGTAGCATATGTCCTCGAGTATACCCATAATTCTATGGAGTTGACCTTGTCACTCATCTGTTAACCTTGATCGTATGCCTGCACTAGTTTTACACAGCCTGGTCGGTGGTGATCACGCTTATCACGCTTGACAATCCAATGGACCAACTAAAAACCCCCACCATTTTATGAAAGATCTCGTCTACAGCTTTCAATCCACTGCATATCCAAACCAAATCTTTCGTCTTCATACTTCGGAAGCATAGTGCAATCAGTGAATGTGAGGCATCACTATTACTCTCCGGGATGAGTTTTACAGGATGTGCCACGTGGTGGAATTTGCCTTGGCATGTGTGTTCACATGTCAATCAGCCAATATTCAGGGATGCTCACACCGTCGAAAACATCGACGACAAATGAGTCAACAGCTATTATTCATAGCCAATTGGGTTCAGTGTCATCATAGTTCACCCAAGCACATCAGCAGAAATTTAGGAGTTCGCTACGATTTTGCGACATTTTATCTGGCATGACTAGTTTAGTGTGCATAACGAGATATGTATATACGTTGATGAGTGGATATCGTGAGTTTCGATAGTCGCAAAACGATGGTTGGAAGCAATTTTTCTAGATATTTACGTTTTGGAATCCAAAACGAGATAGCACGTTGCAGATAAAGAGTTCCACATCGCTGCTACATGTTATATAATTCGCTTTTAAACAGCGTGGATTGTGTGAGATTTATTTATTTATTCAATTTTAGCACAGCTTAGCTTTATTCCGTGAATAAGCTGATACACAGCTCGTCGGTTACAATACTATCATTTGGTCTACACCGGAATGCAGCTATGGTTTTGTCCACGATCGCTCGGGTGCGCCGCTCATTACGCATGTACATATTCCAGCCGACTGTGAAGCGGTAGAAGTCTGTCACCGCGCATGCGTACTGCCAAAGATGGTAAGGATATTAGTCACTTGTATATAGATTCATGAGAAAGGGCCCGTCAAAGAATCGGAGATAAGTGGTTGAAATGGAGCTAACACGGCAGGGGGCAGGTACTGATAGCAGTATCTGGCACAGAACAACAAGCGATTTCTCATCACAGACGCAAGTACAAACCAGAATGAGGGACCGACGGACTACGAAATAGACTACAGACAAGTGTATCTGTAATTATATACTTAGACAAGCAATGCTGAAATACAAGTCATTCTATATGAATACGAAAATCTTTAATTAGCGTTAGTCCATAAACCTCGAGGTGCTGCAGATCACTATGACAACAAGGACGGAGCAATGCATACTACACGCTTGGAAACACACTCAACACTACTGGCATACCTCAACCATCATAGCTTAAACCATCATAGCTTAAATCATCATAGTTTAAACCATCATAGCTTAAACCGTCATAGCTTAAACCATCATAGCTTTAACCATCATAGCTTGGTACGTAATATCATATAGCCGCGGTAGAATTGTGCTCCGAACCTCTCACGTGTTCTCCTACACATAAAAATAACAACAACACACACTTAACACTACCGTCCTACCTGGTTCCTCATAATTCGGTATGTATGTGCTGTAGCAACGACACGGCTGCCCTTCCTACCACTCACGTGTTCATCTAAACGAACAAAAACACACTTAACAATACCCCCTTACTTGGTCCATCATAGCTTGGTATGTATACGCTGTAGCCACGGCAGCGTTGTCCTTGTTGAGTTGCGCTGTTAGTGCATCGTGGTAATGTCGCAGTAAATCCTCCTCACGTGTCATTGTCGTACTAGTAGGAGGTGTAATGCTGTTAGTTGTATGGATTGTCTTGTAGAATGGTGTTGCAGGTAGGAATTATTAATATGCGCCACATCGTCGCACTAACAAGAGGTGTAGATATATAT